GGAAATTTGTGTTTTGTAAAATTTCAGTCATTTAAACTGTTCAGTGCTTAAATCATTACGTTTTATTTACGGAGTTCAGGCTTGTATGCAGAATGCTTGAAAGGGGGTTCTAATTTGTGAGATCAAAAATCAACACAATCAGCATGCAAAGTATGTTAATGCTATGAGGGTCTGGGGGCATGCCCTCCCACAACATTTGTTAAAAATAGGTGCTATGAGATTAAATCTGGAAGCAATTTTGTATGAAATATAGCCTAAACAATGCCTGGTTGTTCACATAAAATCCACAAATATTCCATTAAAAGTCAACAAATCATTATTCTACAAGGCGAGCTAGATTTAAATTAGCATAAATATGTATGTTTTATGACAGTAAAGTACCTTACTATCTTCATGCAGAGTAGTTATTAATTGTTAAATTCTGTTACTAACTAAAACAACTCTGTACGGTAATAGTATATTAGCTATTTCAATCACTGGCTATCATATATGTACATGTATGCACTACTCAAAGAACTTATTAGTTTGCTCCATTCTTCCAGGGTTCTTTTCTATAAATAACTTGCATACAGTTTCAATGTTGATAGCAGTTTCATAATGATTATGTATTAAAGGTAGATCACTCAGTCATTCTTTGGTTTGTGTACACCTCAGATAATTATTCAACCAGCAGAGAGCAGATGCCGAACATTCACATTCACATGAAATTAGTGGTAGTGTGTTTCAGTAACATAAAGATATCTGATACACTGAAATACACTTTTAAGCAGTCAGCCAGTATCTAGGGCCTGTCCTGGAAATGTATAGAAAGCAATCTTGTCTTCCATCAATGAAGTTCTTCATCAGAAATGTCAGAATTTGGGTAAATCTTCCCTGTAAAAATCTTTAGCTTATCTGATATCAGAGATAGAAAACTTGTGTGAGTTTTGATGGCATACATTTCTGAATTGTTGCTGCTTGCTTTACACGTGCATCAAATCTGGAGGAAAAATTACTGATAATGTGGTCAAGAAAAGATATGGTTACTGTTTTTTTTAAAGTAATCCTCAATTCTATGTTCTGTGTTTGCACATTTGGCTTATCGTTGACTAACTCATGGCATGCTAACATTAGTATTAGATTTGTTCGCAAATATTACTGCTGTGCTTAAAGATACACTGTGAATGATCATCTGTGTTCACTCCTAGTGAAGTCAGTTCTTTACAACATTGTTCTATGAAGGAAACACCAGAAACAATCTCTTGACTTGGACCTTGCAAACTTACAGAAGCTTCTTTCTAATATTCAAGGGAATGTTGTAAAGCTATTAAACAAGAAATGAATTCAAGGATTTCATCATTTTTCTTAACTTCAGCAGCCCAGTTGTCATTAAACATTTCAAAATTATCATCTGCATACACAATAACCTCACATATGTGAAGTAAGAATAGATGATATAAACAGAACCTTTCCCCACCTGTAAAATTCTCAACCCAGTGTGTAATGTATACATTGAGTAGTAGAAGACATAATTAACTGCTTCATGTTGAATGCCCTTTAGACAGATTGCCTTTAATACTCCCACACGTTTAGGTGAGGATTTAATCTAAATAGTTATTCCTTTTGATCAAAAAAATTTATTGGTGGAACTGAACATGAATTTATAATAGCAAGATTGAGTGACCCACACAATGAGTGTACAAGGCCTTGTTTTGCATATCTCGAATTTGTTTTTGAACACCGGACTTTTCATCCACCATGATGGATGCTCCATCATACCTTAACCACACAATTCAACATCAGTCAATATTTTTGTAATTGTATCTGTTTCTCAGATCCTCTGTATCTTAACAAAGCTGATAAAATCTTCCCTAATTTCACAGTTGTTGTTTACAAAGTGGAGACATATTGGTAAATGTTCTACATTGTGAGAAGACACTTTATCAGCAAGAACAGAGTAGACTCCAGCCATTTTTACTTAATCAATAATTTTTGCTCGAATTACATCTTGTCCTATGACATTGATGATGTCATTTAGTGAGTAGAGAGATAAATATGTAACATTTTTTGCCTTTGGATGATACAAGTGAGATCTCAGTAGTTCACCATTTTCAGCATAATGCTTCAGCATGGCCAGAAAATTGTCAGGATTTTTAGAAGAATTTACACCTTTGTTATTGCCACAAAATGCCAAGTCTTCTTTTCTTGAAAACAAAATGACAAGAACGATGTGATGAAAAATATGTTTATTCTACATTAAGCATGATTGAAGGGCACTGTTGGTAATAATATCAATTCTACTGGATGATAGATGTTCAATGGAAGACTTCAAAACATCAGCAGCTTGCACAGAATTACAATAATAAACAAGCTTAGAATGTTTGAATAAAGTATCACTATTTTTTCCCCAGTTGTTTGATGGTTTGTTGACAAGTGCTATTTTATCACATTGGCTATGCACTGGAAGGAGGGTAACACAAGGACCACAAAATATGCCATCCAATTTGGGGGCTGTATAATAACCATGGGTTATTTTTCAAGCCAAGCTATTTGAAACTTTTGGTTACACACATGAAAAAGGGTGGTAGGGAAAACTTTTGGTGGTGGCACATGCTTATAAAGATAGGAATACTTTTCAGCATTTGATAGATTACTAATAGCTTGTCATTTTTCATCAAGTGATCTTGTTGTCAGTAAATTGCCAATGTCAATGCATGGCTCAGTGACGATAGAAATACCATGACAAGTCTCTGATGAATCCATGATTGCTGTAGTGCAGTGCTATGATGGTGGTCCAGGAAGACTAGAGTTGTCAGTTCTTGAAGCAGTTTGAGACTCAAGTAAATCAGTTTGCATATCATCAATATCCTCACCACAAGAATATAGCTCAATAGTGTCAACCTCACAAGCTTCACATTCATTGTTGGCACGAGAGAAAGACTGAGATGGTGATTGAATCGTGTCATTAGCAGTGTCTGAAAACAAAAATATATAGCAATTTTAGAGATTACCATTATATAGCTTTACATATTATTGTAGTTTATATGATACATAAAATCTGTAGTAAAGATTGTTGTTGTAATCATCTGCATGCAGTTGTGAGGAGAATAATAAATGCTCTTTCTGATACATGTGAAGACTGTGGAAATCTTGTATTGTTGTTATTTTGTAGTGTACTTTATACATCAAAAATTATTAAATGTGTTACGAAAAACCTTCAAACTTAGTTTTAAACTAGTGGTGCTTCCACTGCAGCTTCCCATAGATGTGCATACATACTATATAAGTATCTTACTTAGAAAGCTCCAAGAATTATAAGTGCTTTGGCTAGAAAATGTTTGTTTTGTAGAACAAGTAAATTGCTACTGATGCATAATATAATGTTTTTCGTTATAGTCAAGTAAGATGCTCAGACCACACTCCTTTAAATATTTTGTTCCTGATTACTATTGCAAGGTTTTTTTATGTAGTTTTAACTGGTTTATATAGTGTTTGTGAATGTAAAAACTTCTCTGCTTAAAATGCTTTAGGTGTGATATAATTTTCTTCAATATAAAGTTTAGTACATTTCATTAATTCCATATTGTTATTAAATAATTGTTTGTTTGCAGATGAGGAAGTATCTTAGGTACTTTTTATAGATACAGATCACTCACAGAAAAGAACAAGAAACAGGTTAAAAACTAACAGAAAGTATGGTTATATTTTCAAATACTTTAATATCTCAAATTGAGGTTGAGAGTGTATAGGTACACAAAAAAAGCTGCATACAAATAGAAAAAGTTGTAAGATAAATCATCAATAGCTAAGGCCCATTTTGCATGTTATTCATATTCAGTATATACAGGGTTGTATTCCACCTCACACCTAGAATTTTATGAAAACAAGACTTCTTGTACTTCTGGTTTCTTTGTTGTAGTTGTTTATCTTAATACGGAATATAAATATTTACTTCTTTTTAAACAATGATCATTCACAAAATATGTATATTTGGCTTACACTTACACCAGGTGTAAAAGTAAAAACACTTATTTTTTTAATTTTATGTGGTATCACTTTCATTGCATATTCATTAAAGTATTTATACTAAAGATTTGTCTTTGAGTTTCTGAAGCCTGTACTGATTCAGTCTGATTGCAGAGTGATTTTCATGCTAAGAATAAATATACTTCTTTTCATTATTTAATTTATGCAACCTCTAAAACCTCCTGAATGAATATCAAAAGTTTTTAAGGTAAAACTTTATATTTTATGTTACTTTTATGTATATATTTGTTAAAGATTTATTTTCTTTTTCACCGGAGGTGAAATTAAAAAGAGAATCTGTGACATAGAGGCCTAATGCATTCCTTGATTGGCCATACCGTCTGCTGGGTACTGCAGTGTTGCCTATTCAGGGCTCATTAACACAGCTTGGGTCAGCAAACCAAGGAAATACCATTAGGCCTCTCTTAATGGTGAAGTGTATATAATATCTTCAGCATTATAAGTGGACCAACTGTTAAGTGATTGTATATATATATGTTAAAGATTTCTTTTTACCACAGATAAAATTTTTAAAATCTTTGACAGATAAAACAGACTCAAAATCTCATAGATAATATAAGAATTTTAATTATAAACTACATTCTGCTGCCAAACTTATTGACATGTATTGATAATAAAGCTGGTTAATTAAATTTCAAATGTAAATCTGTAAAACACTGTGACATTCATTATGACGACCAAACAATTGGTGTAGGAAGAATTACATAGTCATCTGGGCACGTACATGAACTTGCACTTCTTAATCTAGTATGCAGGGCAAAACATTGGGCATGAGGAATATCTGTGTTGTCATTCAAATTTTCATTGTAATATCTCAAAATATTTTGTGAGTTTACTGAGGCAAATGTTCTTAAATCATCAACGTCAGAATCTTTACTGAAATTCTTTTACAGTAGGTGTCTGTGACTTGTTAACAATAAATTTGAGCATTAAACTGACAGCACATAATCCACATGTTTTAAAATAATATATTCAAAACAAGTCAAACGTATTTACAAAAATTCATTACACTATTGGTTATCACCATTGCATATAAAACTTTAATTAATTCTCTTTTCTTGTCAAAAGTCCACACAGGCCAGTTCAGTTATTTTAGAACCCAATTGATGAGTTATTTCTTTTATCACAATACAATAGTGATAAATTCAATTCCATTACCTCATTGGTTATCACAGTTGTATCTAGAACTTTAAATAATTGTCTCCTTTTTGTCAAAACACTACACAGGCTGGCTCAGTTACTTTAGAACTTAATTGACACGACAAATTATTTTTCTTATTTCTGTTATTACAAAACAGCTGTGAAACACACTGTATAAATAACCCATTAAGGGTAATCACTCACACACCAACTAACTTCACTTTTTCTTTCACAAACTAACTTTTTCTATCTTCACCTAACTTGTGCTTGCTTGATTGCCTATATATAGGCCAAGTTGAGTCCTCAAACTTTTTACAAACTAGGAGATGCTATGATGTAACAATACTCACGAAGATTTGAGTAATGTGACATCAACAGTGTTACTTAAGCCTAGTACAACAATCAAACTGTATACACAATGTACGACTCATACTGAGCTATGAAACTAGTCACAACTATCGCTTTGAAGATAATTAACTTTAAACACACTTGTTATGACAATTAAATAATCATTTAATATCAAATTAATAAATAAACTAAATTATAGCTTATACTAAACAATCTTGTGTATACAACAATAACTTGTGAAATTTTTATTCCTTACAAATGGTTTTGTTTCAGAAAACTCTTTAACTCTTTATCGGATTTACCAAGATAGTACATTGAGTGTTTTACAGATATTTAGTGATAAACATTTTTGTTTTGTTCATTGTTAAATAAAGCTTTAGTTATCTAACTCCAAGTTTTCCATGTGACAGGAGGAGTGGAACCTATTTTACAACTATATACTTTCTTACCCAGATTTGGTATCTGATGTTCTAGAAAACTTAGATTCTTCTAATATAAAGGTTAATGTACCTTTACACAGGGTGAGTTTTGTTATAATTTTACAACAAATTTTTATTTTTGACAAAAGCCTCTTATAAATTGGTTATTATTAGACTTGAATTAAAAATGTTTAGCCTGAGAAAATATTATTGTTATGTTTTGAAGTATGAATATTCAAGTTTTCTTGTAAAATAATAGTCTGTAGGACATGGAATCCTGTATAAAAGTATCTAAAAATGAATGTTCTGAAGTACTGAATGTTTATATTTTTAATATTAAGATATTCCAGGAACTTGGAGACTTTTTCCTGTGTCTGAAAATTTAGAAGAATCATCTACATACTTTTGTATCATAAAGGTTAAAAGAATTGTTCTGCTAGCCATTTTTTAGTAACAAATTGGATTCCCTCTCAGTAAAACTCAAGAGGTTTAAAAACATTAGTATGAAACCAAATATAGAGTTTTTTCATAAAACATGTATGAAGGAAGTCTCATATTTTCAAACTTTGGTGCTTCTAATCATTTTCTTGCAAGGTTTTAAGCAAACACTTTGGGAATATGTACCAATAATCAATGTACTTTGAAGCATAGTTTTGAATTTACAAGTGAAATACAATGCTTAAAAAATTCTACAGTGAAGCTTACTTTACAAATTTGGAATCTTTCTCTTAACATACTATTAGGACATTGATCCAATAAACTCATACCATACTGTAGAAGAAATGTTTACTATAAATTTGAATTTGCCATTTGTATCTTCATGAAATTTGCAAGCTTGTAGTAAACATTAAAAGTGTTGTTTGCAAAAAATGAGAATTTTTAATGAAGTATTTCTACTAAAGATTTGTCTGTGTATTTCTGAAGCCTTTACTAAGTCAGTTTGAGTGCAAAGTGATTTTCA